GAAAGTCAGTTTTATCTGATGCGTTTTTTTCAATAGAAATATCTGAAAAAATTCATACGTCTTTTTTAATCTTAGTCTTTCTAAATAAAAATTAGAATAATAAATTTGCAAAATAATTTGCTTTAATATATTTTTAGTGCAAACATATGAAGCAAAGTGCTCAAGGTGCATCACTATGAAAACATCGATAGAATAAAAAATAGATCGTATACAAAAAAATTAAAATATTTACACTACATATTTGATATAGCATTTAATCGATATGTGCAGTAATACGGTAAAATCTAATTTTCTCTCGAATTTTTTCACGAAATTTAAACTACTAAAAAAATATCAAATATTCAAATTGTTCAATAGTCTTGTGAAAGAAGCAGTTCTCGCTTAAAGAATCTTTAGAAAAAAAAATAAAAAAATTCTAAAGAAAAAAAAGGACAAGAAATTTTAAATCTCACATGGATATTTAATTTTATACTAATATTTTTAATGTAACACTTCATTTATAAAGATTTTATTTTGTGAAACGTTTATACATAAAAGTACAATGATTATACGGCTTCTTTAATCTATTGTTTCATCTTCGCATGGTTTTCGTTTAAATAATAAAATATTTGTGCCTCTGGATATTTTTCTCTGGAAGCTTTATGCAATGTGTGTAACTTAAATCTGTTAACGTACAAGTATTAGAGTAACGGAATAAGTATATGTAATTTGATTAAAAACACGTGTTTTACATGAACTTTTAATTACATATTTTGTTATGTTACAAATAAAAAAATCATGCTTGCGCGACGCGATTCTAACAATTTACCGACATGCACAAAATGATGACTTTACCGGCAGTCGAAGTATCTGGACTACGTAATTCTGGCGTTTAACGCGAATGCAGATGGCGATACTAAACAGCAAAGAAAGATGGCTGCATGAGTGAAACGCGAGGCGCGAAATATTGCATTTCGTATATCGTTCTTTGCGAAAAAAATGTGTGAAAGTATTGTACGTATTCGCGATTAACAGTTCGGTATTGATGAATACTAATCAACGCAAGTATAATTTGTCGTGCATTGGATATCTCTTCAAACTCTGTATATGAATCGCTCTCAGTCTTTTAAAATGCAAAACTAAATATTATAAGATTTGACTTTGGAAAAGCGCGATAAAACAATTGAATCATTCTTAATTCATATCATTAGCATAATATACTATGAATTTTCTACGTTATATATTGAATCGAAATTGCGCGAAAGAGGAAAAAAAGAACAAGCCTATGAATAGACATTTCCATCCTTTACTAAAAGAAAAAGAAATTAAAAATATATCTCAATTTTTTTTCTATTTCTTTGGGCAAGTCTACATATATGACCAATATGATTAATTGATTCCATCTTTATATATTTATCATTATGTGCTATTAATTAAAGCCGTAGACAATATTCAGAAATCAAAGTTGCGCGCAGGAATGGCCATACGCAGAAACGAATGCGCACTGGTTCGGCCGCCATGTTGGCGCGTGACTGCTTCGTCACTGCTACGTCACTGCTACGTCAAACGCGTCATACGGCCGCCATGTTTGTGCGTGATCGGAGTCATACGCAGTTACACGGATCGTCGTACGTCCGCATTTTTCGCATCTTTTAACCGTTTTTAAATGAATATCGCGAGTGAACGAGCGTCGAGAGTGTCGAAGGATGATCGCGCGACTTTTATAGTGTGTCGATGGAAACGCGCGACAGCGATTTTTAACGATATTCAGTAATGGCGTCATTGCGAAGATGGAGCGAAGTTGCGTCGCGTTATTCGCGCCCTTGATGATGATTATCGGATGCGAGCGAATATCGGGAGTGCCGAATAAAGTGTCGTGCGTTCGCGTTGATGATATCGTGTGGATTTGTGTGCATCAAGATCGGAATAGGACGTCCCGAGGCGAGCGAACTGTCCCGAGGAGGAGCGGCCTGTGGAACAGCCGGTGAGTAGATTTGATTTATCACATTTGCGTGATAATTTGTGCTCATTCGACGCTTATACAGCATCGCGATGTCCCGAATTACATTCGGACAAATCGGCATCATAATTCGATTCGGTGCAATTCAAATAAAGTCGATCGCGTGAAGATGGTTATGCTAGAAGCGATTTCAAATTTATTTTGTACGTGCGCGCAGTGCTGCACAGCCTATCTCGTAGGGCTGCCAACTGTTAACGATAAATTTGTTTGATCTAACCTAACCTAACCTAACCTAACCTAACCTAATCTCTCAGTGTCTTTGGATATCGAATGTAAATATAAGCGTATGTTCCCTGGATTTTATCATGCTTTCAAAAATAATATTTAATTATTTCATTAGTATATTACATTTCATTACGTAGTATATTAATCGTATTAAATGTGCGACGTACAGTTTTACACATTTTAATGAGGAGCATATAATATAATTGGTTAGGTTAGATTAAATTAAAACAAGCTGCTGTGATTCATTTAACGTAATAGGATTAATTTGACGAATGTGCAGCTATTGAAGTTACATAATATTTGTGGACACATTTTTAAAATAATTATGAGTGTCTTATCTCATCTCGATTACATGAAATTAAAATATAAAATATTTATGTATTCCACATTAACGTTATTCATTACAAGTACTATATTACTTTTCTTATATCTCAATCATATTTCATCGATGAAGCTTTTCATATATCGTAGACAATATGATACTGTGTGTGGAATTTTACAAAGGTAATATATGGCACAAAATTAATTTGTTCTCAAGTATTGTGCGCATTTCTCAAAAATAAATCAAATTAAATTATTTTAAGTAGGATCCAAAAATCACTACATTGCCAGGATCGTATCTTATTATAACTGCGATATTATCACCTTTTAATATGTGTGCGCAGTATTACATACATAAAATATATAAATTTATTTGAAACGTATGGAAATCTTTATCTTATTTATAATATTTATGATATAAAAGAAAATTGCAACTCTAATGAAACAGAGCAGTGGAATAATTGGTTGATACTTATCCTGGTCTACAATATTTATCCTTTTTTCATCATTAGATTTTTGGTGCTTTTTTTATTATATAGATATTATCTGTAAATATAGTACTTGTAATGTTGCTTCTGTATCACTGTAAGCACACAAAGTGATAGCATTTGCAGGTAATTATGTTATACTTATATATCATAAGAAAGAGAAAATAAAATTAAAGTTGAATACTGAATGTGCTCTAAAGTAAATCTCGTCTAAATAAATAAATGCATAAATGTGCGCCCCACATTCCTCATGAAAAAAATACATAATAAATTAATTTTTATGTATTATTATTTTTAGATTTTTATTCTTTTAAATTCTCTAGATATACTTTTCATTTCTCCTCTCTTTCTTTCCAACTACTAAATATAGATCTATCATTTTTAATATAGATCTATCATTTTTAGTGTACATTATTGCAGTAAGTGGAATAAAGAGCAAATCTTTTGGCACATTTAAAATGTACAGGAAAGTTTTATCTGATGCGTTTTTTTCAATAGAAATATCTGAAAAAAATGCATACGTCTGTTTTAATCTTAGTCTTTCTAAATAAAAATTAGAATAATAAATTTGCAAAATAATTTGCTTTAATATATTTTTATTGCAAACATATGAAGCAAAGTGATCAAGGTGCATCACTATGAAAACATCGATAGAATAAAAAATAGATCGCATACAAAAAAATTAAAATATTTACATTACATATTTGATATTTCTGCAAATATTTCCATTATTTTGAGAATGATTTGTTTCATGATATATTGCAATAATTAAAGTATGATTTCTGATGTAATCTGCCATGAGAAAGCCAGTTTTAATTCTTTATTTTGTTCAATATTTTTAATAATATAATAATTAAATTAAAGTTCTATGAAAATATGCTTGAAATACTAAATAAAAAAGATTGTTTCTTATGTACAACCTTATACAGTTTAAGTAAACAAAAAATTATTGTTAATAATATACATATATAAATTGATAATTAAACAAAACAATTAATTAATTAATCGACACAATCCACGTTTTTTTTTAGCTTTATGTCTAACATATATATACATATATATATATGTATACAGGGTTGGGCAAAAGTCCGGAAACGGTCAAATATCTCGAAAAGGATCAACTATAGCGAAAAATTGTAAATAGCAAACTTGTAGGGCTTAAAAAAATGTACCTAATGATGACTAAAAATTTTACTTTGAGTGGAGGACGAAGATCATATAAAAGTCAAATTGAATTTTTTAAATGGAACCCCCTATTTTTCATTGCATATTCTTGTAGCTTATCTCGAGAGCTTTCCAAAACACTATAATTAAGTACCTTTTTATTAAGTACTTTTTGAGTTATAAGGCTTGAAATAATTTCTTAATTTTACATAAACCATAAAATATCTAGTAAACCATTCATTTTTCGATTATCTTACCTTCATACTTTTATGTACAAAATAATGAGAGGAATCAATTGGTGTAAAGAAAACATACAGTTTTAAATTAAATATTTTTTCTTAAAAACAACTGTATGTTTTCTTTACACCAATTGATTCCTCTCATTATTTTGTACATAAAAGTATGAAGGTAAGATAATCGAAAAATGAATGGTTTACTAGATATTTTATGGTTTATGTAAAATTAAGAAATTATTTCAAGCCTTATAACTCAAAAAGTACTTAATAAAAAGGTACTTAATTATAGTGTTTTGGAAAGCTCTCGAGATAAGCTACAAGAATATGCAATGAAAAATAGGGGGTTCCATTTAAAAAATTCAATTTGACTTTTATATGATCTTCGTCCTCCACTCAAAGTAAAATTTTTAGTCATCATTAGGTACATTTTTTTAAGCCCTACAAGTTTGCTATTTACAATTTTTCGCTATAGTTGATCCTTTTCGAGATATTTGACCGTTTCCGGACTTTTGCCCAACCCTGTATATATTTTTATAAGTAAAAAATGTTTCTTTCTAATATAAATTAAATAAAAAGTATAATATGCCTTTAAATACTTTATATACATACCTGTTGCAATAAACCAATAAAGAATGCTTTTACATTCCTCCTTGTACTTTGGCATACATATCCTTTATCAATTATCTCGCAACACGCTTTTATGGCATGATGACAAACAAGCCCATTATCCTTCATGAATTTTCTTTACAAATATTTTTATATTCTCAAACTGTGTAAAGAAATCATGTAACACTGAAAAATACAAAGTGACATTAAAAGAGAAGAAATAAATTTTATATTATATAGTATTGACAATTATTTTCTTACCAGTAATGTATATTCCTTATATGTAGGAATATACATTAGTTTTTGACCAACCCTATTTTTAACCGTCTTTAGGGATGCTTTGGCTTTTGATAACGCAAATCCAGCTAATCCATTTCCATTTCCAGTTACTATAAATGAACTGATTCTAGTCTTACGTGCTAAATTACTAGTCATACAAGTTATCATTTTGTTTTCCAAAATCCAGGTTTCAAAACTTTCAAATGTATCTGCAGAAAACAAAGATATTAATTATATAAGATTCTAATATTTAGAAACATCAAAAAAAAAATTGAAAATAGACATCGTATCACATGATTTTTGTATGTGTGTGATTTAACCATTATAATCCAATAATAGCATAAATATTAACCTTTTCCAATAAGATCTGATTCAATGCTTCTGCCATCCATTGTAACACTCGTCCAACCACATTCCAATGGCGATAATTTTATTTGCATTGATCTGGTCTGACTTTGTGGTAATTCCATAAGTTTTTGCTTTCTTTCAAGATTTACAAACAGTTTTTGCTGTTGAATTAATTTTTTTCCTCTAAACACAGGAGTGTTTAGACCAGGAAATTGTATCGGAATTTTTCCCATGCCAATAATTTGCTCCTTATTTAGGTCTCTCTTTTCACTACTCTTCTTGCTCTGCCTCTGTGTCTTCCTGCATTACTGATACTTGTCATACCCTTTCATAATTCATCTTCAGGTCCTATAGAACAAAAGCAGTGAAATACAAACTATTTTCTACTGTAAATATAAACTATTATCAAAATGCTATATCCATAAAAGTTCTACTTACTATTCGCAAAGAACATAGAGTTTCTCACATTATTTAATAAAGTGACTATTTTTAATAAATGTGAATGACTGACAAGCAATAAATTAAACAATATTAAACAATAATATATATCTGAAAAAAATTTCATAATTTTATTAGAATTAAATTGATAAATTAATTTTAAATACATATTATATGTTAATTACATATAATGATTTAGAGACAATGATATATTTCATTTGCGTTACCATTGTTTACAGATTGAACATTTTTATCAAATTATTTACAACTTTACAAATATGTAGCATACGACAAGCCATTTTTAAAATCTATAAAACAAACAACAAAATTGTTCATAGTTTTCCCTCTGTTTTGTCATAGTCTGCTTTTATGCGATCTCTGAAAGCAATGCATCCTATAAACAAAAAAATATAAATATGAACTACGTAGTTAAATCTACAAATGTTTTCAATGGGTAACATAATTTCGGATTGTATTCCATTGATTGTTGCCTCATACACGAAATGTCGATAACATAAGTAATGCAAAACGTTTGTATATATTAAATAAATTTGTAATATAAATAAGTTTTGTGATCTCTCTCTCTCTATCTATTTATCTATCTATCTATCTATCTATCTATCAAGTTATTAAAATATATTAATTATTAAAATATATTACCCGATATTATATTATATTATATATTAATCACACATTATCTATCACCACCATCGCCATTATTATATGTAATTTAATATATACTACCGTTTAATTAAAAAAATATTTGCCTCAATTAATTTCAATCAGAAAGAAGAATAAGAAACATCATAGATCACTTGGGTAATTCCTAAAGGCAATACTCTGAAATAAAAACGTGGACATGAACTACGAAGCTAAATCATGAATGTTTTCAGTAGGTAACATTATTTTGGATTGTTCCGTCAGTAACACAAGTATCGATAATGCAAAACGCTAAATTTTTAATACAAATCTAAAGTTTTGGGTGGTCTTTCTCTCCCTGTATTAATAATATAATTAATTATTAATATATTCCTTGATAAAATATATTAATCACACATCATCCATCATCACCATCGTCACCGCCATTTTTACGTGATCTTTATCACAACGGTTCATCATTGAAAATAAATTATAACAAAAAATATTCTAGTTTATTTTTAAATATTATTTTTAAATATTAAATAATATAAGAATTAAAAATTAAAATAAAAAATTGGTTCAAATAATAATAATTAAAAATTAATTAAACAATTGATAACTAAGAGCCAATAAAAAGCGCGATAACTGGAGCACAAGAAAAATCTTTTCTCTTTTAATTATTATTATATTTCAAATTATTAGTATATTTCAAATTACTCGTCACAATACATACAATAAATACGAACGTTTCGGATTATCTTTTAATCTACCTTCAACATGACATTAATATTATTACACATTCGAAAATATTAGACAATGACATATGAAATATTATATAAATCAGATGCAGATAGCATTTGTAATATCTGCATGCCGATTATGAAACGATTTATATAATTTCATATTTATTCATATTTATATAATTTCATATTTATTCATATTTATATAATTTTATATGTTATTGTCTAATATTTTTTAATGAGTAATATAATGATACGCCGTTAAATTTCTTTTCTAGATGCGATCGCGATCAACACCGAAAATTATTTATTATAACTATATGATTAATTAACTTTTATAAATAACACATAATTAATATCTATATACAAATCGCGACAAAAATTCTCTATCGCATTTAATCGTAATTTATTCATTTAATCAACTAAGAATTATAGTAACAGAAATCTAAAATAATAAATTATTATTTCGATATGAAATCGATTTTTACGAGCAGAAATTATTTCTTTAGTATTTATAGATATTTATAGAGTCAAATACAATATATCTGCGATGCTTTATTTTTCAATCATTGAAATATTTTGAATTGTGAGAACGCACAATAAAATAATTGAATCATGAATCTAAACATAATGAAAGACTCCATATATCAATCTTTTAATAAATAATCCTATAATTAAAAAATCTATGTAATCTAAAATACTGTTATATACTTAAATATATTCCATATATACATATATGTATATATTAAAATACGTAAAATATTTCGCTAACGAACAAACAATAACCGACCTTGGTGCCGTAATAGCGCGCTAATGTTTATATGCTATAGTCTTGAAAAATGTTTCGATAAAAAAATAATAATAACACGGTCTTTCGGACTAACTTTTTCGGTTCTGTTATTATTCGCGCGTCGACACTCAAAGAGTAAAGTAGTGGTATACAAGACGCTCCGTTAAATCCTTTTCTAGACGCGATCGCGATCAATATCGAAAAATTATTTGCTGTATTTATTATATTATATTATAATATAAAATATAATATAATATAATATAATACAATATATTTCGATATGACGAACGAACAATAACACGGCGTTCGATCTTGACGTAAACAATAGCGCGCTAGTCATACGGTCTTAGTATCATTCACAAAGCGACACTCAAGCAGTAAAGATCGTAGTGCGAAATATGTCGTATATTCTTATATGTTTATATGCCATAGTCTTGAAAAATGTTTCGATACAAAAATAATAATAACACGGTCTTTTGGATTAATTTGTTCGGTTCTATTATCATTCGCGCGATGACACTCAAAGAGTAAAGTAGTAGTACAAGACGCTCCGTTAAATTCTTTTCTAGACGCGATCGCGATCAATATCGAAAAATTATTTGCTGTATTAAAATATGTAAAATATAATATAATATAATATAATATAATATAATATAATATGATATAATATAATAAAAATACGTATTGTTTACGCCAAGATTGATATTATTATCTGTTTGTCATCGAAATATCCTACGTTAACATATTTGTATTACCTTATATTGTAATATAAAATATAATACAATATATTTCGATATGACGAACGAACAATAACACGGCATTCGATTTTGACGTAAACAATAGCGCGCTAGTCGTACAACGTATGGCCTTCGTATCATTCATAAAGCGACACTCGAGCAATAAAGATCGTAGTGCGAAATACGTCGTATATTCTTAAATTAATTATTAATTAAACGATTATTGTATGTTTTTCTTCAATTATATTAAACTTTCGACTATAATCGTATTAATATACATGTATTGCATATATATATCAATAATGAAAACAACAAATTCATTACGCGTAATAATTAGTTTTACAAAATGAATTATTTTGAGTTTTATAAAGAAGATTTATAATTATATATCTATTAATTATATATTATATTATATATAAAATGATATATAATATAACCCTCCCACGGGGTACACCTTGTCGCGGTGGGAGGGCTTAGTACTTGGATGGTGCCTTGAAGTTTATTTTAAATTTTTTAATTTAGAATAAATCTCAAGGAGCCTGAAGAGGAAGCTAAGTACCCTTTCGCGTCGTCGGTGCCATCAACGTGTCGCGGATGGCGACGTCTCGTTACCGCGTTTTCGAGTTTAGCTTTTTCGCGTCATCGCGTCATCGTGTTTTCGTGTTGGACTTTCTCGCAATCCCACTTTCACAAGTGAAACGGGATTTTCGCTCGTATCGAAACCGGAAGTGCCGTTTAAAGTATATATATATTAAATATATACATCGCGCGACAAAACAGAAAATTTTTAATCGTATCGAATAGTGCGGGAGTGCCGTTCAGTATCGCGCGTAAAAGTGCGAAAATAGCGATATAAAAATATCGCTCGTGAGTGCGGGAGTGCCATTAAGTATCGCGCGTCTAACTGAGAGGAGGAGGAGGCCTAGGAGAGGCATCGGCAGAGCAACCTTCTGGTAAGCAATTTATTTATTTGTAATTATATATTAAATATTAAATATATTTATTATAATTTAAATTAAACAATTAATCGCAACAATTAATTTGATTTGTTTATTTATATGATTTAAATAAGAGGGAATTAAAGATAATGATTTTTAAATGAAAGCTATAATCTTGTAAAAATATAAGCTTTTATAAAATTAGTGAAGCTAGAGTATTATTAATAAATTCTGTTCTGTTTTTTTTTTATTTTATAGAATTATTTTATTAATTTGATTATTATTATACATATCATGTATATATTATATCTCATATATATATATATATATATATATATATATATATATATTATATCGAATATAATTCAATGCATACAATAATAATTTTTTGAAATATTAATTATTTTAAACTCCGCTACAATTTGAATTTTCTCTTTATATGTTATAGATCGACGCAGCAGAACTGACGATCTGAGAGGAGGAGCAGGCCTAGGAGAGGCATCCTGCACCAGCGGAACAACCTGATGGTATTATTATTTGTATATTACCTATTATAAATTGCATTAGTTTGATTCACTTATTCAAATGATTTAATCAAGAAAGATTGAAAGAAAAAGATTTTATATAAATCCTATAACAAAAGTTTCGATTTAAAAAATAGGTTTTTTACAATTTATAAAATTATTCCATATTTATATATTTGTTTTATATATTATTGCTCGTATTGAATATAAAATTCGTTGTGTACAATAATAATTGAATATAAAAAAAATAAAAAAATAAAAAAAAAATATATATATATATATATACAGGGTGTTCCGAAACTCATAATCAATTTTTCAAAGACAGATTCCTGGAATCATCCGAAGACGATTTTTCCTCAATGAAAATCGAGGCACTTATAATTTTCGAATTATAAGTGATTGGAAATAAGGGGTTTTTCATAAAGGCTTTGTAGAAATAAAATATTAACAAAACCACATTCTTCGATTAATTTTAAATAGAGTTTACTTTAGTTGAGTTTTAATTTAAGGCTTAATTGCAAAGATATATGATGACAAAAATCGGGAACAAAAAATGATGGCTTTCATCGACATTTTTGCTGAGGAAAAATCGTCTCCAAATAATCCCAGCAATCTGTCTTTGAAAGATTGATTATGAGTTTTGGGACACCCTGTATATATTTTATTATATATATATATATATATATATAATAAAATATTAATTTGATTAATATCTGATTAATATTTTATTATCTGATTAATATTTTATTATATATATATATATATATA